AGGGAGCCCGATGCAGGGCTCGATCCCAGGACCCTGGGATCATGACCTGAGCCGAAGGCAGACGCTTAACGACTGAGCCACCCAGGCGCCCCTAAGTATCCAACTCTTGATATCGGCTCAAGTCTTGACCTCACGTAAGTTAAGTTCAAGCACTATGCTGGGTTCCACGCTGGGTGTGGAGCCTACTTAAAAAAAATAAATAGTTTTGTTTTTCAGATTGTCATCTGAATTTCTTTGGAATGACTCTGGCTAAAAATATTCTCTCACACACACCCTCCAAATTAAAAATAAACAGGAGCGCCTGGGTGGCTCGGTCAGTTAAGGGCATCTGCCTTCAGCTCAGGTCATGATCTCAGAGTCCTGGGATTGAGTCCCGCACTGGGCTCCCTGCTCAGCGGGAAGCCTGCTTCTCCCTCTCCCCCTCTCCCCACTCATGCTCTCTCTCTCAAATAAATAAATATAAAAAAAGACCCCACATGGTAGTGATATGATTCATAACCTACTGTTGAAAAATCTATGAAAGATAACACTAAAAATAAAGACCAGCGTGGACAAAAAATATTTATGTGTAAATGGCTGTTTTCTATAAACTAAACCAAAAGTACTTTGATTCACACCATTTTCTTTGAACCAGTCCAAAAAAAAAATTTTTTTTTAAGTAGGCTCCATGCCCAGTGCAGAGCCCAACACGGGGCTTGAACTCACAACCCTGAGATCAAGACCTGAGTGGAGATCAAGAGTCAGATGCTTAAGTGAGCCACCTGGGTGCTCCACAAATATTCTTTAAGGAGTTCAGAAACACAGAAATAAAAAACCCTGTTTACATTATAAAAATTATACTGCCTACTAATTTCAACAAACACCACAAAACTCCTCCATTTTAAACATTTCAACACTCCTCAGTCCTTCTCAGAGACCTAGCCCACTTGCCCGTGAAACACACTTCAACAAGTGCATCCTCATGTGGCAATCTATTAACACACACTTCAAGCTCTTTCGACAGATAAAATTAACTCTGGCATTACCCATGTGCTTGTCCACCTGTTCCCCTGCCTGATCCCCCGAGTGTCTACTCTGGCCAACACTGAAGTCCAGGCGCAGGGGCAGTGGGAGAGCAGAACCGGGCGTCTTCTTGCTGCGTCCCCTCCCAGCAGCACAGCTCCCAGCGCTCCTGGGCATCCTGGGCTTCCTGGGCTTCCTGGGCTTCCTGGGCTTCCTGGGCTTCCTGGGCATCCTGGGCTTCCTGGGC